CTTTGAGAATTTTTCTGAGTAAGGGGGGTAGGTTATGAAAAGGGAAGGTGTTAGCACCCTTTTCATCTGTAGTTATCTACCGGCTCTTAATCGCTAGCTCACTTTGAAAATGCTTTGTGAATGTGTAAGTTTAAAAATACTTTGAAAATGCCTAAGTTAGGCAACTTTGTAATGATTCTCGTATCAGTTGAGAACGCATATAAAGTGTTTGTTTTGAAAATATTTCAGAAAAGTGTTTGTATGAAAAGAGATGTTTTTGTGAGCAAGTGATTAAAAGCTCTCTACCTACTCAAAAGTCTTTCGCGTTATTTTCCTCTTCCTTTAGATAGTATTGTCCTACCATTAGTTAGTAGGAAGCCCTATCATTGGATGTTTTGAGGGACACACGCGGGTCACCGTACAGTCATAAAGGCAACATATAGGGATACCTTTAGCAATTCGAATGGACTATCATCATGTATTCGTAGAAAACATCAAGGAACAAGATCATTTACCGAAGGCATCATTGAAGAGTCATCTAGGGACTATGATCTTTATGATGATTTTTAACCAGGGGTCATTGCTAAAGGCATTCCTACATTCGAGGGATATGAATGTTTTCCGAAGGCAACAAGTGGGGGTCACCCGAGAGGTGCGCGTGTGCAAGGTGATTTGTTTTCAGTTATCTTGTCTTGATTAGGGTTATCTAGCATTTGTTTTTATGTCTTGCCATACAAGCCTAGTTACTATACAATTATATATATATATATATATATATATATATATATATATATATATATATATATATATATATATATATATATATATATATATATATATATATATATATATATATATATATATATATATATATATATATATATATATATATATATATACACACACACACACACAGAGAGACATACATACATACATACATACATACATACATACATACATATGTGCGAAAAGTAAAGTGCGGAAAATACACCTAGGCTATTACATCTCATAGGCAGTTACATAATAAGAAAAATACTAGAAAACATAAACTACGACTATTACAAAATCACCTGTGCGACCTATACATTTGTTTTCTAAAATTTAAATAGCAAAGAATAAATAAAAAACAATTAGGAGAAGATATTAAAACCTGAAAAATTCCTAAGTGTTAGGAAAATATTTTTGATGTTAATGACAATTTAAAACTAATTTTAATTGATTTTAATTAATTAGTAAAAACCCTAAAGTCTAAAAAATGTTAATTGAATTAATTAATTAACAAAATAAAGTTAAAATTAATTATCGATTTAAAAGACTAAACCTAATTATTCTTAATGTCTAATTATTTTTACTATAAAATAATTAGTAAAAAACTAAGTTTAATTATAATTTTTTTATTTCTTTAGTTAAAATGAATAAATAAAAACAAAGAAGAAAAAAATGTGTTAGGCCTGGATGAGGAAATTGGAGGGGGGGGGGGGGGGTGAGAAGAGCAATTTACTAAGCCCAATACTGCAAGTCCAACATGCCTATGTGTGATCTCATATGGCTAGTTCCTGGAAGGGCATCATGGACATCATATTTGGTTTGTTGAATTTGGATCGGATGGTAATGATTGAGGAGGTGCATCATGCGCGTTCTAGCTTGCCTGTATTGGATATGTGAAAGAAAACATGAAAAAAATAGCAAGGGCAGGGGTCGAACCCGTGCCCTGGTATACCAATGCCTTTACAACGCTCGATTTTCCACTAGGGAGGTCGTTACATCCGTTGATACAATTATAACAATAAAGACGTAACGCATAACAAATATTAAAGGTCAACAATCCAAAGCGTGTGCATGAGTGAGGACCTCTGTTTTTGAATGGTACAGTAGAAAGATGCCACACGACCGTGGTTATCTCTGGCCACCATACGCAGAGGAGAAAGTCATCTTCTCCGATGACTCATTTTTGAAAACCTGTCAAAATCAATCAAAAAACAAAAACTAACAACCCTAATCAAATAATTAGACCCTTGAGAGTCTGATGGGCCTATTAGTTTGGAATTAAAATGACTACAATAGGTGGTTCGAACAGAACTGATTGTGGTTCCATAACCATGGAGATACCTAATTCCTGCATCCAACCTCACATGTAATACGTTAAATAAATTCGTATGATGTATATGAAAAGATTAAACAGGTTAGCAACGATTGAAATACCAGGAATCAAGGTTAGAAGTTTACCAATCTTGACAATAGGCGTGATTTAAATTCTGCGTTCTGGTGCTCGAGAGATGCAACTAGGGACTTGGATCACCTCTTTTGACCCTTAGGAAGTGAGTGCTGACCTTAATTTCAAGTGAGAATGGCTGGAAGTTGGGATATAGATCTTGCACTTTCTTTGAATTTTTTTGGATTTTTCAAGGGTTCTTCAATCAATATTTTTCGTGTCCTTTTGCATCTGGTTTGTTGTGCTTAAATAGAGGAATGGAAAGAGGCAACTAAAAATGGAAAAAATATTGCAATCATGGCCATGCTAGATAAGAATCAAACATGTTTAAAAATTTCCATCTTTGAGATATTTCTTGCCTTCTTAATCTCACACAGTTTTGGCATAATTATAAAGGGTTGTCATGAGTTTCCTTGGGCCTTTAAATGATTGAAACAAAAAGCCCAAGCCCTTATACCATGGTTTTATATTTTATTTGACTTTATTTGCATTTAAATGAATAAAAATTCAAATAAAAGAAATAAAAATCATAAAAAATATGTGAACGTATTTAGAGGTCCTCTAACATCTCATGAACATATTTTAACATCAAAATTTAGGCCCACTAGTTCAAAATTTCATGTTTTCTCACTTTGCACTTTATGCATTTCCTCAAAATTTCCCAACTTGCACTGGTCATAACTTTCTCAATTTTCATCTTCTGAAGGTGATCTTTGACTTTTTGGAAATCTCAAGATGTCCTCTAAAATTTCTATTTTTATCATTTTTGCATTTGAATACTTTATCTTGATGTAAGTTGCCTGGACAAAAAGTGTCTTTTTGTTGACTTTTGAAATGCCCGTTAATGTATTAGCTCATATATTTTAAATGAAGAAATTTTTGGACTTGAAAATAAATACAAAGTTATAGAGAATTGATTTTCCTTTAAAATGGGCTTTGGTTGGGGAAAAGTTGATAAAGCATGTGAAAGTTATGCTTGGTCAAAGTTCTGTTGACTTCTCCTAAGAAAACCCTAATTTGGCAACTTTGGACTTTTGATGATTTGAGGGCTTCTCCTGAGGAATCATGATCAACCCTTGATAAAATGATGAATATTACTTCAAAATTTTTATGTTGACCAAAAATCTTGATGTTTGACTGCATGTTGACCATAATTGACTTTTTACCCAATATAATTGATTTTCAATCATCTGAGCCATTGACTGAGCAAACTTGTGATGCAAGACTTGAAACTTGACATAAGAATTGTTGAAGACCTATGATGAACCATGAAAACCATTTGAGACATTTGAAATCCATTCTTCCTTGTGTAAGATGAAACCCTAGTTGTGGACCCATTGCTTAGGAGGAGGTTTGACTAGTCAACCCTTAAGTAGCTTTGAGTATTTGAGATCTTTGTGAGCATGTCTTTTAGAAAAATGGGAGGGAAAATTTTGGGGTTCAACAATAATGACGCATAAAGAAAGGGAAACTTTGAACAAAGTTGGATCGAAAGAGCCTTCGCTTTTCTCACCTTCATGTATAGAAGTAAGTATCCTGACATATTTTATGTCGACATGAAGGTGGCCTTGGAAACTGTGTAAGTCATGCTTAGTCGGAGCCATCTTTTGTGCTGGTTTTAAACTTTCATTTTGTAGAGCTTTAAGAGTGGAGCCATAAATGAACCACCATGGAAACGTGTTGTAACCGGTTTTTAAATAAGAGTCGTCACCCTTAATTTTTATCCTAAGGAAGGGAATATAAAGGATAATCCTAAAAAGTTAGAGATTCTAGGATTTTTGGACTCGTTCTTAAACGAAGGGAAGGTGTTAGGCACCCCCCCTCATCTACCTTGTTCGCAAGGATACTAGGGTTAGAAGCGTGATCTTTAAGAAATATGGTTTTAATATTTTATTAGAGGAACTCACCATGATTTTAATCGTATGCCTACGTATCCTCTTAGGAGGAATCAGAGTCTCAATTCGTAGTTCGCAGTTTGGTTGATATTTTTTATAGGATTGCATAGAATTGATTTCAAATTATCCTTGAACCTTGTTTGGGTTGTAAATTGAGTGATGGTAGACGCAGTTTACAATTTGATTCGAAGACAATGCTATTTAATCCTTTTTTGAAAATGATCTTGAAGTTTTGATTAAATTAGTAGAAAAATGGTTTGTAATTGGTTAGCTATATTAAGACGTAGAGCGGGGGAGTCTTATACAGTTTCCTTATCACGTGGTAAGATATTGGCCACATGTCATTCGCGAATGAAATATTTAATGAATCGTGCGAATTTTAATATTTTATAAAAATATTAAATTAATTTAATTTAAAAATTGTTTGATTTATATACCAATTATTAATCTCTAAATACTTATCATAATTAATTAGAACCAGTAATATGAATTATCAAACTAAAATTATACCCATTCCTTTCGTATCTTAGACTTTTCTATTGTTCTTAAATACAATCAAAAACTAAGTATTAAATTAATTAAGTTAATTAGAGAAAATTAACTAATTAAATTAACTACACTAAAAGAAATTGGAATAATTTAGCTAAAGGGGTGTGTAAAATAGAAAGTTGCGGATTGAGGATTTAGTGATAAATTAATGGCTCAATTAATATAAAACCTAATTAAACTTAAATAAAATGAAAAGAGTTTTAAAAAAATTAAGGAAAAGTATACATGAGGAGCGTACCTTTTATCTCTCTGATCTATAATATACAAAACTAAACAAAATTGAAAGAAGAACAAATCACAAAATTTGTAATTTTGACCAATTGGATCACGACATGTGGCGAGGCATTTTTTAATAAAAAAACATAATGACATATGAAATAAGAGAGAGTATCAGCAAAACACAACAACCATTTAACACCCTACTCTCTCTCTCCACATTGGTATATCTCTCTCCTTTTGTTCATTCTCATCTTCTCTCTGTACTTTCTTCTTCATGCTTCAAATTCCTTAGATTCACACACACAAATAACATAATCATCGCTTTAATTCAAATCCAAAGATTTAAAGAGAAAACTTACAAGTCGTGGCGCGTATGGACAATTTTTAAAGGCTTGAGGTTCAAATCAGAGGGGTTTGCATCGAAGTTTGGTCGTGGGCTTCGGGAGCGTGTTCTGTGCGGTGGCAAGTCAAGATCTGAGGATTCCACGGTGTTGTGAGGCTTGCGGATTTGTCGGCGTGAAGACGGTCTCCGCGAGCAGCAGCGATGCATGGTGTGGAGTTTATCCTTTTCTGCAAAAACAAACAAAGACAACAATGTACAACTTTTCCATTTTTTTTTTTTTTGAGTCTTCTCCTTCATGTTCTTTTTTATGAAACTATTGAATTTGTGTAGTGATGTTTTGGAGGTTTGGTGATAGTGATGCCATGAGATTGTTTTGAAATCAGTTTGAAAGTTTGTAATTGTTGATGTGAAAGTGAAATTTGTGTTATAAGACCATTTACAATGGTTGAAAAACTCAACACCCACTTTTTCAACTCCCAACCCTCCACATCATTTTCTCTTTCTTCCACCTAATAACTCAACACCCATTCAACTTTTACCCTCTCCAATGGTTTTTCACTCAACACCCTACCCCACCACTTTTTATTTTCATATTCTTATTTAAATTTTATTTTTATTTTTATGATTACATAAAATTACAATTATCGATTAAAATTAAATTAAAATAATAAATACTTAATAATTTATTTTTTAATTTTTTGTAATAAAAACAAAATTTATTTAAATAATTGGATACGATACAAATCATCTTAAATTAATTTAAAATACAACACACAATTAACGTAATTAGTACGTTACAAATAATTTAAAATGCAATACAACACACAATTAAATGGAAAATTAGCAGAATTTTGAGTGTTAAAATGATTATTGGGATCCATTTCACTAAAAAAAGACACTTAACTTCAAAATAAACACTAATAATAAAATTAAGATAGTGAAAAACTTAGTTTTTTTTTCTGTGTCCAAATCAAATGAACCAAGTCTCTATTTATAGAGGAAAAAAAATCATGAATTTTGGTAAAAAAAAAATAAAAAATAAAATTAATTTGCAACGAAATAATTGAGTTCAAAGTATTAAATGGATAAAAATCTGGTCAGCCAATCAAGCACAGCCACGTGGCTGCACTTTTCCCTTTCAATTGTGTTGAGTTTTCTCAACACCTCTCTCTTCCAACACACACTCAACACCTCTCTCAACACCCATTGGAGGAGATTTTGCATGTTGAGTTCAAACTCAACATACCCATTGCACATGGTCTAAGTGGTATGGTGAAAGGTTCGTGTGTGATTGATGTTGTGTTAGAAGTGGTGATGATGTATTATACACATGGAATATGTACAAAGAAATGATATTGTTACTGTAAAAAAAAAGCGTCAGTTTTTAGTGTTTAGGATTTGTACAATTGTTAATGGTTAGAAATATTTAAGAGAACCATCCGATAATTATTATGATGTGGTTGAAAAATAAACTAATTTAAAATTAAAAGAAATTAAAGAAATAACAAGGGAGAAAGGGTGTCTTCATATGCTAATTATTGGTTAAAACTAAAGAAATTTAAATAGATTTTGAAAAAATGAAATTGTAAAAAGTAGTGATGAAAATGAGTGAGTGAGTGAGTGAAAAATTATAAGATTGTTGATGAAAAATTAGGACAATAATTAGTTATATTTATAGAGTTAAATTAGGTTAAAAAACTTAGAGAGAAAGCTAGCCCAAAATGAATGAAAAGCACAAAGCCTTATCTCTAAAAAAGGAAAGAAAATTATAACAAAAAATAGAAAAAAGAAAATGTTAAAAGTGCGATAAAAGAAATTTGAACCAACGACCTCATACTTGCAAGCTTCATTTTTTACCAATTGTGCTACATTGTTTATTCGAAATAAAAATGCATTTGAAAGCATACGAAGGTCAAACAAATATTTATTTATATAAAAATACAAATGATTTGAAATAAATAATTATATTTTTAAATAGGTTTGGAAGCGAATATTTATAAAGATCAAAGAATATTATAAAACAAATATTGAAAATATTTTTGACCGTAGAAATAAACGGCGGACAAATTTAGTGTATGACAAAATGGAGGCTGAAAGGCCAAGGCCATCTCTGAACTTGGCAAGCATGGGAATTTTGGTGGAAAAAGTTTGAAAGCCAATTCATATTTGTCTTCTTTCTTTACATATGAAGGGAGTATCACGTTAGGGATATTTTTCATAAACTTTTCCTTTAAAGTAACAGCAGCATCATAAATGGTCCGACTAAGATCATTGGGTCTGTACACAGTTTTGAAGTAGCGCTGAAAGGCTTTCACTCTCTTTGATATCTTGACTTTTACCTTTATGGAATCACTCCTGTATAGAAGAAAAAGCATTTGTTAGATTCTTCGTCAAGGTTTCAACATTGGGAAACTCCTCAGCATAATAATTTCTTCACCAGTTATCAAATTCGTGAGTGCAGTAAAAAGAAGGTTGAAAAGGGTTTGAAGTGAGCCCATCCTTTGAGTCCGAGTACCGTTTCATACGATTTTGATATTCATCTTCAGAGTAATTAACATGGTACAAGAATATCTTACTCTTGCGAGTATAAAGTGATTTTGGAAGCAGTTGGTTAAGTCCAAGCTGTCAACAGACTAAATTAGGCTGATAACTAAGAATTTTGACATGCTCCTTGTATGTTCTAACCCTAGTCGAGATCAATCGGGGTACATGAAAAGCTTCCTAGATCATAAAATATTATGCTGCTTGTACAAGATTGTTTGGAGGAAATTCTCAAATGAACCATTCCGGTCCATGAGTTCATTTGGCGAAAGGAGACATTGATGGTGTGAAGTTGTAGAGCTTGGCGAACATTAAAACATAGTTGGTAAAAGCTTCTGGTAAGTCATTACCAAGGTCTAATGGAGTCAGGCGAGGACCTTCTACTCTTCTGTTTCTTATGGCTTCATCTTTTTCATTAGGTTTAACAACTAGCAATGATGCTTCAAAGGTGGCGTTCAACCATAGTTGAAGTAGCCAATAAGCACCAGCAAGCAGAAAGTTGATTCCTGGTTTGTAGGATTTTAAGCAGTCAAGAGCTTTTCCTAAGGTTTCATAGAGGGAACCTAAGATTAAACGGCTTAGGCAGATATTTCGACCCTCATGCAATAGATTCTCTTGGGTTAAGAATCTTTTCAAAACCATCAATGTCTTGCAGCAGAAGATACACCTTGACAACCAGAGTGAGAGGAAAGCTATGTGTTTTGCATCAGATATGATGATCGGACATATAGTGACATAATCTAGGTCGTTCGATGTTGAAGCTGATGGCGTCTTCATTCTTGATCGTGGGGTCGAAATCTTCTCATATAGGTCGTAAACCCGTGATGGCTGTTATGTCTAAGAGCGTTGGGGTAATCATGCCACAGGGGAGTTGAAATGTGTTTGTTGAACTTTCCTAGAAATACAAGGATGCTACCAGCATATTCTGGAAATATTCTGGACCTACTTTCAACAGCTGAATCATGTCAAAGATCCCTATTTCTTTCCAGGTTTTTGCCTTTTTGTTTTCAACTTTGGATAACCAAGCCAAGTTGTTTTCAGGATCCTTAAATAAAGGGGATGAGTGAAACACTCGAAGAGAGTTTCTCATGTAGTTCAGGTTGATAGGATTATCTACTTCGACTATGCTAGCATCTTTCGATGCAGTAGCATCAGTAGGGTCCTTGCCCTTAGATGTTTTCGTCTTATTGACAATTTTTTGATTGTTTTTTTTAGCCATTACATTTTTGAAGCTAACTATGGGTTTAGCACGATGATAAGCGGGAAAGAAATCCCTCAGCTTTTTAGTATTCATTTTAGCTTCAGGCAAAGGATCCATGAAAGCATATTTTTTACCAGAAAATGTGAAGGGAATAAGTACATGAGTTTGATATATATGAGTTTTTTCTTCTAAGAGGGGTGGCTCGGGAACATATTCCTAGTTTCTTGCAAGAACTGGGTTGAGAATCTGATAAACCAGAGGGAGAGTTGCTTTGGAGTTGCTAGCATCCTTGTTGTTCTTTAATTTTGATGCTATCATGGTTGTAGAAGTTAGATTTGAGGTTTGTCTGAGTTTGAGAAAGAAGAAGATGTTGTAATAGTGAAAAACTTGAGGGAAAAGAAAATAAAAATAAAGAAGAGAAGCATTTATAATAAAAAAATGAAATTGTTCAATTTAAAAAATGGACAGTTATTTTTTCGTGCGACATGTGTTGGATATTTAAAGGAAAATTTGACTGTGGTTAGGTAATAGCCTACGTCCTCCTAGGTATTAGGAGTTATCATTACTATTCAGGAAGTCTCACGTCTCAAGAAGAATTTTGGAAGAATGTCATGATGATTATGACGCCAGAAGAGAATTGTTGATAAGAGGAGAAGAGATCAAAAAAATTATTTTTCTCCTATTAGTCGAAAACTATTTCTAGGGGGAAATTTGTTAGCTGAATTTTCATTTTTGATATTTGTAAACAAATGATTAAAATGGAATGTCTAATTCTATGTTCGGTATGCATGATGTGTGTCGAAGAGGTGTATATTTTTTGAAAAAGAGCCTACAAGAAGAATTAAAGGTTTATGTTCGACTACAAATCATGTGGTAAGGTTTCAATAGAAAGTCGTATATTATGAATGTCGCTTCGAACGAAGGAGATAAAAGATTCAAAATTCAAACTAATAATTATTTTTCGATCTTATCTATTAGCAAAGGATACGTGGAAGCGAGTGGGAGATAAAAAGCATGTTGATGGAAAACGTGCTGATACCTAAAAAGGGGATCGTTTGAAGACATTTACTTTAGTTTAGTATAAATAGAGGTCTTAGGATTAGGATTTAGGGTTTTCAATTTGCACCAAAACTTAAAATCACTCAAAGTATCTAAGTATGTTGAGAAAAGATTTACTGAGCGAAATGTACGTATGAATCACCATATTTTCATTCAATATCAAGTCATTTACATTAACGTTATTTTCATTCCTTTTAAGTTTCAGTCGAAGTTATTTTACATTCTTGTACTTTTCATTAATCGTTCTTGCATTATTTTTAAGATTCTTAGTAGTGTCGAAATACTTGTCATTAAGAAAAATTAAGAAAACTATTCACATATGTCCTAGGAACAATCTAGTCGATCCTGTAAGT